CACATGCCCAATTTGCAGGCTCCATCCCCCAGTGTGTGTGGAGGGGGTGTGTAGGAGGCAGCCAATAAATGTTTCTCCTCTCTCACATCAGTGTTTCTCTTTGTCTCTCCCTCTCCCATCCTCTCTATAAAAATCAGGAAAAGTATTAAAAACAAAACAAAACAAAAAAACCCACATAGCCCAGCAGCCATTTCTATACAGGGGTCTTTGATGCAAATTGTACTTTAGGGAGAAGCCTGCACTGAACTACCTGCCTCTGCACTGAGCTGCCTGCATACACTGTATTTGTACCATCTGAGCCAACCCTTATAAAGGAGTTTCTGGAATCCTATTTCAACCAATAGGATTGAGGCTTTCTGCATCCAAATGGAGCTGCACACTCCAGTCAACATTTTCACTGACCAATCCAGACAATGCCTTTTGAACCAATCAAACTTCAAGAATTTGGAGTCCTCATCTGCATGAACTTTTACCAATCAGGGACCAAGGGTGGGGACTTTTGTCTGAATCAGCTCTTCTCTGGCTCTAAGAGTTTACTTTCTTTTTCCAGGGATGACTGTTTTGTTGTTTTTTTCTGGCTGGCCTGTGTAGGCAAGAACAGACTGGCATAGAACAGAGCAGATCAAAGCAGAGCAAAGCAGAGGAGCAGAGCAGAGTTGTCTGGCCAGAGAAGGGCCTGGCCCCAGGGTTGTCTCACAGCTGTGCTGTTTTCACAGTTCTGCTGTATCACAATTGAGCTGTTTTGCACTGAGTAAAGTTTCCTTCTTCACCACACCCCAAGTTGGGGATTTCTGTTGGCGTTGAATTCATGCCAACAACCATCAGTTGACATATTCTACTTATTTTATTTGTAGTCTTCCCCCACCAGAAGGTAAACTCTTTGGGGATAGCTATTTATGTCTGCTTTTTCGAGGACCTAGAATAATACCTGATCCATAGTAGGTGCTCAATAAATATATTTTAAAATTTTTATTTATTTATTTATTCATTTATTTTGGTTAATCCTCACCCAAGGATATTTTTCCACTGATTTGTTAGATACAGTGGAAGGGAGGGAGGGAGAGAGAGAGAGAGAGAAATATCAATGTGAGAGACACAATGATTGGTCGCCTCCCGCAAGACTGGGACTGGGGCTGGGGATTGAACTTGCAACCCAGGTACGTGCCCTTGACCAGGAATTGAACCAAGGACCCTTCAGTGCATGGGTCAACGCTCTAACCACTAAGAAAAACTGGCCAGGGCTAAATGTTAGAGTTTTTAAGATTTATAAAATGTATAAATCACAATGTATATAGTGAAATAATTATCACAATAAGTTTAATTAACATCCATCATCTCATATAGATACAAAGAAAAAAAAAGGTTTTTTTCCTTGTGATGAGAATTCTTAGGATCTACTCTCTTAACTTTCAAATTTTCAAATATACCATAGAGCAATGTTATAGAGTAGTGACCACAGATATAGTCACTACGTTGTATGTTACATCTCTGGGACTTATTTATCTTATAACTGAAAGTTTGTACCTTTTGAACACCTTCATACAATTTTCCCTACCCCAATCAATAAATATTGTTGAATTAATAAATAGGCATGTCTAGGTGCTGGGTATGAAAAAAGAGAATGAGCCCTGGCCGGTTTGGCTCAGTGGTTAGAGCGTCAGCCTGCGGTCCCGAGGGACCCAGGTTTGGTTCCAGTAAGGGCACGTACCTCTGTTGCAGTTTGTCCCCGGCCCTGGTTGAGTTGTGCGGGTGGCAACTACTCGATGTGTCCCTTTCACATCGATGTTTCTCTCTCTCTCTCCCTCCCACTCTATCTGAACAAAATATCAAAAAATGTCCTCAGGTGAGGATAAAAAAAAAAGAGAGAGAGAGAGAATGAGCCCTGGCCAGTTTGGCTCAGCGGTTGAGCGTCGGCCTGCGGACCAGAGAGTCCCGAGTTCGGTTCCCGCTAGGGGCATGTACCACACACACACACACACAAAAAAAAGAGAGAGAGAATGAATTGTTTAGCCTTCAGAAGCTTCCTGGAACCTACCCATGAGCTAGATGAGAGCAGGAACCATGCCTGTCTTGTTATTCTCTTGTCTGTCCAGTGCTTTTCACAGTGTCTGGCTCAATAGATGTTTCTTGAAGGGCACCCAGAAACATTTCCCTATTTCATCTGCCCCTTGACTTAGGAGAGGAATTGCCACTCCTTGCAGTGTCACTCTTGCATCTAGTTACCAAGGAAGGCCACAACTCATTAGGCCAGAATTGTGGGGGAAACAATCAATTACATGAAGAACACAAATGGGCTCTTATAACTTCTTTTTTTAAATTATTATTATTATTATTTATTTAATCCTCACCCGAGGACATTTTTGCATTTATCTTCAGATAGAGTGGGAGGGAGAAAAGGGGGAAGAGAGAGAGAGAGAAACATCGATGTGAGAGAGATACATCTACTGGCTGCCATTTGCACGACCCCAACTGGGGCTGGGGACAAACTGCAACTGAGGTACATGCCCTTAGCGGGAACCGAACCCAGGCCTCTCTGGTCCGCGGGCCAAGGCTCTAACCACTGAGCAAAACTGGCCAGGGTGGCTCTTATAACTTCTAAGGGCTTCACAGCATAGATAAAATACTAAAGATTACAAATACATAAAAATAGCATAAAATTATGTATTTGTACTCATAAAATTTGATACAAATGGAGAGTGATAAAGTATGGTATATCCATAGCTTAGGATGTTGTGTATAATTTCAAATAATGATACAGAAAAATATTTACTTGTGGGAAAATGTTAACATGATACATGTTTGTGAAAAAGGCAGGTAAGTAATTGATCCTACCTTTGTTAGAAAGTGTTTGTTGAGAGAAAGAGACAAAACCCAGAATCATTCTCTGCATCCTCACCATCACTTGATATTATCAGTCCTTTTAATTTTAGTCATTCTGGTAGGAGTGTAGTGATATTTGAATGTGGCTTACATTTTTATTTTCCTAATGGCCAATGATGTAGAGAAACTTTACATATATAATGTTATTGTCCATTTGATAGTCTCTCTTGTAAATTGCCTACTAAAGTCTTTCTCTCTCTCTCTCCATCACTCTTTCTCTGGTTTGTAGGAGTTCTTTATATATTTTGAAGGCAAGTTCCTTTTCAGATAATGTATTTTCTATTTCTTCTCCCAGTCTGTGGCTTGCCTTTTACTCTTTTAATGAATATTTTTGATGAACAAAAGTTTTTAATTTTAGTAAGACCCTCTTTATCGGTCCTCATATTATGGTTGGTAATTTCTGTGTTCTATTTAAGAAATTTTTGTTTAGCCAGGTCACGAAAAATTTCTCCTTTATAGTTTTAATCTAGATCACATTTAGATCTAGGATCCACCTCTAATCTTTGTATATGATGTGAAATAAGGGTCAAGTTTATTTTTTTTCTTTCATGTGGATATCCAGTTGATCCATCACCATTTGAAAGATTTGCAGGGAAGCCTTTTTTTTTTTTTTTGAACTCTTATGTATTATTGGTAGGAATGAGGACTGATACAACCACTTTGGAAGACTGTTTGACTGTATCCACTAAAGCCAAACAGCTAACTGACTATGCTTTTATGATGCAGCAGTTCTACTCCCACCAGGAATGGGTGCTTATTTCCACCAAAAGAACGGTTTGTAGCACCTTTATTAATAATAACCCAGCTCTCTTCCTCACCATTGTGGTGCATGTGGTTGACTCTTCTTTGCCATGTCTTCTCACAAGACTTTCAGGATCAAGAGGTTCCTGGCCAAGAAACAGAAGCAGAATTGGCCCACAGTTGGGTGTTTTTTTGTTTTTGTTTTGTTTTTGTTTTTGTTTTTAATCCTCACCCGAGGACATTTTTCCATTTTTTTGTTCAGATAGAGTGGGGGAGAGAGAGAGAGGGAGAAACATCGATGTGAAAGGTACACATCGAGTGGCTGCCACTCGCACGACCAACCAGGGCCGGGGACAAACTGCAACCAAGGTACATGCCCTTAGTGGAAACCGAACCCGGGTCTCTCTGGACCTCAGGTCGACGCTCTAACCACTGAGTCAAACCAGCCAGGGCTTGTTTTTGTTTTTAATCCTCACCCGAGGATATTTCTTTCCACTGATTTTTAGAGAGAGTGAAAGAGAGGGAGGATGGGGGGGAGGGAGAGAGACACGTGGATTGGTTTCCTCCAGCATGCTCCCAGGGGGGCTAGGGATCCAATCAAACCAGACTCTTTTTGGAGGCTCTTACCACTGAGCCACACAGGCCAGGGTGGTATGTATTATTTTCACAAGAAAATAAACTTGTTTTAAAAGCACCAGATGCAGCCTAGCAGGTGTGGCTCAGAGGATGAGCGAAGCCCCATGCACCAAGAGGTCGCTGGTTCCATGCCCAGGTTGTGGGCCAAATCCCCAGTGGGGGGCATGCAGCAGGGGGCCAATGGATGTTCTCTCTTATCAATGTTTCTATCTCTCTCTCCCTCTTCCATCCTCACTCTCTAAAAACCAGTAAAGAAAATAAATAAATAAATAAATAAATAAATAAATAAATAAATAAATATTAAAGCACCAGATGCATATCTCAGACAACTATTTAAATGCACGGAACCAGCATTACAACCATTCCTCTTACCTCTTTGTAGGTGTGGGGTTTATATATAAGTGTATCATATTTTTCTTAATGGTACATTAATGCATTTTCCTAATATATTATAGATATTACATTTTTTTCCCCATAATATGTGTTGGATCAGGAAGAGGAAGCAATGACTTTAGGCAGATGGGGGATGGAAAAGGCAGGTCCCCTGTTTGTCCAGGATCTGGCCCTATTCACCAAGGCAGTCCCTCTGCTTAAAAGCTGAAGCCCCTTCTACTCACCCCTTCAGGACTACCCCTACCACATAAGCTCCTCCTGCTCTGGTCCATGGCTTGGGCGCGGTCACACCCTCACCTGGGGTCAGAGCCCTCTCCCTCTGGCGGGGGTTGGAGAGTGTCACAGGCCCACAGGCCATTGGCCAGGGCCCGGCCTCCCTCGCCAGGGTCACAATTTCGCACGCAGGGGTCAGAGCCCCCCTCACCTGGGGTCAGAGTCCCCTCCCGAGGGAGGAGGGCCACCAGCCACAGGCATGGGACGCAGTTTGACAAGCGGTAGAGCCATGGGCCTCTGGACTCGGAGGCGCCCTCCCTCGGCCGGGGCCCTAGTCTCCCGCCCAGGAAGCCCTCGTCCCTCCTCCAAGGCCGGCGGCCCCTCCTCCAGCTCCACGCAGCGGGTCCCGGGATCCCCAGTGTCAATCGTGGAGTCCGGGGGGGCCAGGCCAGACGGCTCGGTGGCCGAGGGGCCCGCACCCGCCGCGTCGCCTTCGGGGGCGGACTCGGATGACTCGCAGCCCCCGTCCGTGTCGCCCTCCTGGCTCTCCTCGCGGCCGCCGACCGCGAGTCCGGCGGTGGACGCGTCGCTGCTGCGCCAGGCCGCGCGGGGCGGGATGGCGGCCGGCACGTTGCTAGAGGCCGGCCTGGCCCGGGTGCTCTTCTACCCGACGCTGCTGTACACGCTGTTCCGCGGGAGGGTGCCGGGCCCGGCGCACCGCGACTGGTACCACCGCATCGACCGCACCGTGCTGCTGGGCGCGCTGCCGCTGCGGAGCATGACGCGCCGGGTGAGCCGGGCCGGGAGGCCGGACCCCGCCGGGCCTGGGAGCCGGGCGAGCGCCGCCCGGGCCTCGGCGCCGGTTCTGAGCCCCTTCTTTACCTCGGCAGCTGGTAGAGGACGAGAACGTGCGCGGGGTGATCACCATGAACGAGGAGTATGAAACCAGATTCCTGTGCAACTCCGCAAAGGTGAGGGCTGGGCGGTGGCCGGGAGCTGGGCCGGGCGGAGCGCCTGGGCGGCGGGGACCGGGTGCTGCAGGTGACCGTGTCCGGGAGGCAGGTGTCCCAGGCTTTTTTGCCTCCTCAGGAGGAGGGTCTGGTGCTCTAAGTTTAAATGGCTGCGGCTGAAGGTGGAAACTAATTGTGAAACAGAAAGCTGTGAAAAGCGTTTAAAAGTAGAGTTGACAAAGTCTGGTTGCTCCTTTGTGCTCACTGTATTCTCAGATTCGGTCAATCAGAATCAGTAACCAAGTTTGAAAGGCAGCCTTTCTGTGGTTCGCTGATTTCATTCATTCAACATTGACTGAGCACTGAGTATGGATCCGGCGCTGCCCTAAGCATTCAAGATGAAGGCCGGGTAAACTCGAGAAGAATAACCAACCCCACCCCAAAAGAGTACATTTATCATAACACAACCCATTGGAAAACCGCATTCGGTTCGTTTGGCTTTGATTTGAGAGAATTTTTATTCCTATGTTAGAGATATAGTGGAATCACAAAGTACTGTGATGTCATAACAAAATTCATGCCTGAAACATAATTTTCATTAAATGTGAACGCCTGTAGAACTCTCCACAATAGTTACCAGACATTGACCTATCTTTATATAAAGACATTGCACTATCTTGATAGTGTTTGACCTCTATTAGCACCACGCACGCAAGTACCTTTCCTGTTTACTGTACTAATATGGCCTGATGGAGATTCCATAATTTCAGGTTGTAGAGTTTTTTAAACCTTAAAAAATATTTGTGACTCACATGTACTCAGCAGCATAGCTATTGTTTGATGAAAGACCAACCATGTAAGTCAGCCACTTAAAAAATATTTCTAGCCCTGGCCAGTGTGGCTCGGAAAGATTGCCGGTTTGATTCCCAACCAGGGCACATGCCCCGGTTATGGGCTCCATACCTGGTCAGGGTGGGTGCTGAATGCAGTCTATTGATGTTTCTCTCTCACATCAATGTTTCTCTCCCTCTCCCTCTAAAAATATCAGTAAAAACATATTTAAATTTTTTTTTCTGGAAAAAACAACACACACAAATAAAAAAATATTTCTGTATGAAGCTTCTTATTTGGAAACAGTAAACAGTATATTCACAGTGCAATAAACCCTGAAGCTTCCTTGTTGCTTTGCTGCCTCTTGGGAGCCCATCTTCATACTACTAACATCTGACTTTTTTCATTCTTTTTATGCTGGTGGACCTGGTTTCAGGAGTGGAGGAAAATAGGAGTTGAGCAGCTGCGACTCAGCACAATAGACATGACTGGAATCCCAACCTTGGCTAACCTCCAGAAAGGAGTTCAGTTTGCTCTCAAGTACCATTCGCTGGGCCAGAGCGTCTACGTGCATTGTAAGGCTGGGCGTTCCAGAAGTGCTACTATGGTGGCAGCGTATCTGATTCAGGTAGGAAAGGTCTTTCTGGACTGGTCCCAGTGACAGCAGATTTCCAGAACTTCAGAAACATAGTCTACAGGAGGGCCTTGCTGGAAGGAGTCATGTCCCCAGTTTCAGGCTGTTGGGAGATGGAAAGTACCTGAGCTTTGTAGATAGGCTGACCTGTGGCTTTGCCACCTGCCAGCTATGTGATCTTAGGCAAAAGTGACTTCTCTCTCTGATGCTGTTTCCTCAGACTAAATGTGTTATGAAGCTTGAATGAGAAAGTATGTCAAGCACTGACCTCCAGCAGACACTCAAAACATGGAGTTGCAAAGGATATGAATACCAGCTGAAGGCTAGAAACACTTGTTAAAAATAGCATGTCATAAGTCTAGTACTGTAGCCCTGGCCGGTTTGGCTCAGCGGTTAGAGCAATGGCCTGTGGTCCAGAGAGACCCGGGTTCGGTTCTCGCTAAGGGCACGTATCTCGGTTGCAGTTTGTCACTGGCCCTGTTTGGTCGTGCGGGTGGCAACCACTCGATGTGTACCTTTCATGTCAGTGTTTCTCTCTCTTTCTTCCTCTCTCTCCCTCCAACTCTATGTGAACAAAAAATGAAAAAATGTCCTCGGGTGAGGATAAAAAAAAAAAGAAGTCTAGTACTGTAAATAGTGCTAATCACTTATAGCTCTATACTACTCATATTTCTTCAAGTATTTCAGAGTAGAGTTCTAGACACTAGTTTCTAGAAACAGAGGATCCAGTGGAATTTTGCCTATTAATTTGTTATGGGAAACAAAAAAAAAGCAGGTGGGAAACTTTTAAAAATCTTTAGAAGCAAATACTCTTATCATTCCATTGTCCCCTGCTTGGCTTATTTTTGTTACCTGTTTGGCCCCTGCAGAGCATTTACTAAGTCATGTAGATAGTTTTTTGTTTGTTTGTTTTCTTAAAAATATTTTTTTCCTTATTGATTCTAGAGAGCAAAAGAGAGGGAGAGAGAGATAGAAACATTGATTGGCTGCCTCCTGCATGCCGCCCGCCCCCCCCAACTGGGGGTCTGGCTCACAACCTGGGCATGTGCCCTGACCGAGAATTGAACTAAATTGAATTTAGGATCTTCACATGTTAAACCTTCTTTTTTTTTTTTAAATATGTTTTTATTGATTTTTTTTTAGAGAGAGAGATAGAAACATCAATGTGAAAGAGAAACATCAATCAGCTGCCTCCTGCACGCCTCCTACTGGGGATCGAGCCTGCAACCCTGGCATGTGCCCTGACTGGGAATCAAACTGGGACCTCTCAGTCCACGGGACGATGCTCAATCCACTGAGCCACACCAGCCGGGCTGTTCAACCTTCCTTTTTTTTTTTCTCTCTCTCCCCCTTATTGATTTTAGAGAGAGAGGAAGTGAGAGGGAGAGACAGAGAGAAGAGAATCGATGAGAGAGAACATCGATTGGCCATCTCCTGTATGCCCCCCCCACTGGGGATTGGGCCCACAACCTGAGCATGTGTCCTGACCAGGAATCAAACCGGCGATCTCTTGGTGCATGGGTTGACGCTCTGCCACTGAGCCACGCTGGCCGCACCTGTTCAACCTCCTTTTGCCAGGGTTTGGCAAAATAAGAATTAGGTAGAAAGACTGACTTGTACCCCACGGCCTGTAATTTGGGACTGGTTAACTGAGGATGCTAAAGTGCTCTCCCATTTATAATGTATCAAACATGATTTTTAACTCCCCTCATTGGAGTTTTTATTTTATTTTTTAAATATGTTTTTATTTATTTTAGAGGAAAGGAGAGGGAGAGGGAGAGAGAGATAGAAATATTGATGAGAGAGAAATATCAACATCGATTGGCTGCCTCCTGCACAACCCCCTTGCTGGAGATTGAGCCTACAACCTGGGCATGTGCCCTGATGAGGAATTGAACCGGCAACCTCTTGGTGCATGGGTCGATGCTCAACCACTGAGCCACACTGGCTGGGCCCCAATGGAGTTTTTAAAAAAATGAAATTCTGGGAGCCTGTTAGCACCTGTCATTAGGTCAAGGACACCTTACACTAACTTCTTTCTGTACTGATTTCCCAACCCTGTACTTTAGGTGTACAACTGGAGCCCAGAGGAGGCTGTAGGAGCCATCACGAAGATCCGGTCACACATCTACATCAGACCTGGCCAGTTGGAAATTCTCAAAGAGTTCCACAAGGAGGTTACTGCAGGGGCAGCAAAGAATGCGACGTATCACACATCACAGAGATGAAGTATGTGGATCAGAAAGAACTCAAGACAAGCCTGCTAGCAATAGAATGAAAATGTTTAACAGGACCAATGGAGCTTAAGCCAGATGACATAACAGAAGTGTGTTAAGTAATGAATAATTTTGCTCCCTTTGTCTTGGTTTCATTTTCCTGAAATAACACTGTTGTACGGCTAGAAAGATTTAGCATGGCCTTTTCTGTTGTTGTTAGTCCTCATCCGAGAATGTTTTTTTCCACTGATTTTCAGAGACGGGAGAGAGAGAGAGACAGACAGACAGACATCGATGTGAGAGAGGCACATCAATTGGTTGCCTCCCAAACATGCCCCAACCAGGGCTGGGTATTGAACCTGCAACCCAGATACATGCCCTTGACGAGGAATCAGACCCATGACCCTTTGGTGCACGGACCAATGCTCTAACCAATGAGCAAACTACACTGGCTAGGGCTAACATGGCTCCTATTCACAGGGTATGGGGATGTGGGATAGAGATGAGGGTATCTTATTTTTTTTTAATAGGGTCAAAGAAATCTACCATGCACCTAACATTGTACCTAATGATATTTAGCACCATAACGCAAAGACATTTAACACTAGGAAAAGAGAAGAAATACTCAGCTCTGGCTCTTGGCCATTGTCAGAATCTCAATTCACTGGCCCTTCACTTTTGGAGCAGCAATCCTGTGTATAAAAAAGGAAATATGGGATTCAATCAGGACTGTGACTGACTTAGAAATGTGTGCACATTTGTTATGGGAAACAAAAAAAAGCAGGTGGGAAACTTTTAAAAATCTTTAGAAGCAAATACTCTTATCATTCCATTGTCCCCTGCTTGGCTTATTTTTGTTACCTGTTTGGCCCCTGCAGAGCATTTACTAAGTCATGTAGATAGTTTTGGTTGTTTTTGTTTTCTTAAAAATATTTTTTTCCTTATTGATTCTAGAGAGCAAAAGAGAGGGAGAGAGAGATAGAAACATTGATTGGCTGCCTCCTGCATGCCCCCCCCCCAACTGGGGGTCACCTTAGGAAGTCACCCCTTCAGAATTCAAAATAGACACACATATCCCTTCAAAAACTTTTATTTGTATGAACAGTTCCTAGCTCTTGACTAGGCTTAGAACTTTTAAGAGTAGAGACCTTATATATTTGTGTTTTAAAATGTTTCTGCTATTAATCAGAAATAATTCTTTCTACTTTATTTTTGGCTTGTCCCTTAGAATAAGCCAAAAATCAAACCAAAGTATACAACTCCTGACAGATGGATGAGAAAACAATAGATAGAATGTCCAGAATTTTAGAGTTGACTCTTGCTGGTGAAGGACACCTTCAACTTTGTCCATTCTCCCAATCAAAGCCTGAAGGAAAACTCTTAACACTTAATTATTTGTGAAAAAATGACCAAGTAGCCACTTTTCAGACTATAGAAAAAAGGAAGATTGGGCATCTTTCCCTTTGTCCTGGGATCAAGGGGGCTTCTATTTAACAGTGATCAGGTAAAGAAGGGAGGCTGTGCCTAAGATCTGAGAAGAGGCTTGCTCTAAGCAATCTGCAATGAGGCACGGGATTACAAGGGGATGGCAGAGAACAGGCTGATCTACTCTAAGTTCAACCAGCCAGCTGAGCAGTGGCAGTCTAGAAAGCCCCCTAAGGGCTACCCCTATGGATTCAGGGGAGGGCTGAGTGCTGCCTTTGAACATGTGCCCAAAAATACATAGTACTTTGAATTGGGACCTTGGGACTTCAAGTTTGGATGAGTGGGTGCTGGAAAAGGGGAGGACAAAAGTCAGCTGCTTTTCCCCCCACAGCCTAGGCCAACACAAACTGCAAATTAGTAAGCAGCACCTTAATGCCTCTGGTGACAGTTACAGTTGAAGTGGCAGGGTCAAGCTTGTAGGTGTTGGCATCCCCCTTTTTATATCGGTCCCGAAAAACATAAATGCTCCCATTGCAGCTGGCAATCTTCCAGAGGGATGGGGCCGAACTCCAGGCCTCAGGAAGGCAAAGCCGAGTAAAGCTGTCTAGCAGGGGATTGTAGCACACCACGGAGTCCCCTTCAGCCACGATGAACACCAGATCCTTATGCACAGCTGCGTGCATACGGCCTGCAAAGGGCAGCACATAGGGCTTCACATGGCATTTGTCTGTCTCTGTATCAAAGCACTGGATGAGTCGGGAAGGTTTGGTAAAGAAGTCCAGGTCATTCTCCTCCCCCCCTAGTAAGTAGATGATCCCGTTGAGATTGACGCCAGCAGCCCCTGACACAGCCACCTCTAGCTGTGTTGTCTCTGTCCAGACGTTATCACCTACCCGGTAATAGATAACTGCGTTGGAGAGGGTATCCTGTAGTGTCTTGCCACCCAGTGAATATATGGCATCTTTCCCAGGCACAGACACCAAGGTGTGCTGGAGCCGATCCCGGGGTAAGGGTGCACACCACTCCCAGTCCACAGTGGCATTGTTACACTTCCACATGCGCCGTGGGATGGACCCTCCCACCACGTACAAGTCTCCACCATGCTTGCAGGCCGCAGTGATCTGGTGGCACAAGCTGTTTTGGCCACTTACACTGATGGAATCATCTTCAGCACAATGCAAGGACACAGCCAGTGAGTGCGTGCGAAATGACTCTTTCCCAATCAGATAAATGTGAACATTCTCCCCAATTTCCTATTGGAAAAATTAAAATTATAAATGATATCTATTGGTTCTAGGCTAAGGCTCAGCTGAGACTCATAGCCTTAAGGTCCTGGACCACACACGTATTTTGCTCTAACCTATTCCTCTCCAGTTCCCCTCCAGTGTCACTCTAAATCTCCAATCACTTTCAGGCTTTTTATGCCAGGGCAGAGAATCTGATGCACTCATCCTTTCAGCTTCTTCTTTTTTTTTCTTCTTTATTGATTTTAGAGAGAGAGGAAGGGAGAGGGAGAGAGATAGAAACATCGATTGGCTGCCTTATGCATGCCCCCCACCAGGGACTGGGCCCACAACCCGGTCATGTGCACTGACCAAGAATCGAACCGATGACCTCTTGGTGCATGGGTCAACACCAACTACTGAGCCACACTGGCTGGGTTCCTTTCAGCTTCTTAAAACTATCATGAGTTGGTGATTTAGAAAAAGGGTGCTTAATATTGTTAATGCTGATGAAGGTAATTCTCTCATGGAGCTTTGGAGCTCAGAAGCTGTGGGTTTTGGGCTCATGCACACATCCTTCTCCCTGGCTCCTATGAACTTTAAGCCAGAAATGACTTATTCACCAGCCATCAAAATGGCTGTCAGCCATCAAAATGGCTATTATAGTGTCCCAACCCTAAAGAAACTACCTTACCTTCAAGCTAGTCCTGAGAGACTCTGCAAAAGCCTCTCTTTCCTCTTTATTAAAATTGATCCAGGCTTCAATTGCCTCTGTTGGGTTCTGGGAACATGGAACTCCATCTGTTGAGAGCCAGAGGAAAGGCATGGTCAATGGCACTTTGGTAGTCTGAAAGGGAGATTCAGTCAGGGGCTTTCAAGATGTGAACCACTTTGTTAGACTACCACCATGTATTTATGTGTATGAATATGAGAAATTCATCTCAAACTGCCTTGTTACTTTTAATCAAAATGAATGATTTGATATAGTCCCATTTGCAATGGAAGCAATCTACTAGGCTGAAGCGCTCACAAAGTATGTTTATTCTTTACTTGCAGGGTGAGGATTGTTACCTAAACTTGGCCCGTCACTTAAAAAATTTTTTAGGTATCTTGACTCATCCATCATAAATTTACTTAGGTAACAGGTACACACAGAGTGCAGGACAGATAAAACACCTATGCATAAGGGAGATTACAGTATAAATACAAATACTTCCTCACTACCTTCTGCTTTTCTTTTCCTGGACGCTTCCTCAGAAAGGGACTCTGTTTCTGATAGCAGCTACACTAAATCTCAACTCAGTTTCTTTCCGAAGGTATCTAAATTTCCACCAATAATACTGTAAACTAACACCAGGAAGCCTAAGATTTCCTTTTTCTTGGACTAGAACATCATCTGAACATCATACCCAAGTAGCTGGGTATGATATGCCTCCTTCCTCAACTTACCAGAAATGATATCAGTGAGTAGATGATGGGGTAAGTGGAGAAATTCCTCTGTGCCCTGCAGCTGGGCCAGGTGGGTCTTGGCACAGTGCTTGGCAGCAGTGTAGAGCTCAGGATCACTGTGCCGATCTGCCAGCCACATCACCTGAAGGCAGTTCCCCACCTGCACTGTGCGGGCCAAAAACCGAGAACACTCCTCAAAGAGAGATGTTAGCTGATACATATCTGACACCTCATATATTTCCTGCAGCTCATCAGCTCGAAGTTTTACAGACCCATGGTAGATATAGTCAACCAGGAGTTGGAAAACAGACTCACTGACATCCTGCAGCACAATCACCCGGTTGTGGGCCTCCTTCAGGTTGGAAGTGAACATGGACCGGAAGAAGAAGCTCTGAGCTGAGAGGACCAGCCTGTGGAGCTGAAATTCCCGGCCTTCCACTGAAATGGTGACGTCAGCAAAGAGCTCTTCCTCCAGACACAGTTTCATGATGCCCTGGGCCACACGGCCTGAGTGTGACCGATCTTTGAAAGTGTAGTTCACAAAGTAGTTCTCATCCATGGATGCTCCAGGTTCCTCAGGTGATTCCATGGTAGCCAACTTCTCTCTCTGCCAGCTGTCTGCAAAGCAACACCACCCTCAGTAACTTGGGGAATCCATAGCCATATTCTATGAATCAAATAGTGCAATTCAGAGAGGTCGAAGGAAAAAGTGAGAGCAAAGTGGGCCCAGATTGGCCCTGCCAATAACATCTCTGATGATCCTCTTCAACCACAGCTGGGGCCACTCTCCTGCAGTGACACCCCATCCCTAATAAAATCAATACAATTTCTTACTCTGGGTGTTTCCCTAAGAAAACATGGAACATTCCTTTCAGTGATGTAACAAAAGGCCTGGTATTTTGGCCAAAGAAAGAAAGCAAGGGGCTTAAGGAAGCCCATGATCTTAAAAGCGTGACAAAGAGCCTCACGACCCAAATAACTATTGGGTATAAAACTAGTGAGGCTCTGGAGAGTAGAACCAGACAAAAAAGATCCCCAAGTCCTGGGGTCCAGGTAGGGACACCCTCCCCCAACTCGTGCTAATTGAGTCCAGACCTGCCAATATGAGGTTTGGCTGGGGCATCTGTCAGCCTCACATTTGCTCTTTTCTGAGCTTCTCTTCCGCACTTCCCTGCTCGCCCTGAAGACTCCTCAAGGTTCGGTCCCAGAACTCGAGAAAGAGCCCGGTCGTCCCAGACCACTGTCACAGGCGGTGTCGCGGCTCCACCTGCAGTCGCCTCGTAAACGGTCGCTAGGGAAACCGTTCTCTCCGCCCCTAGCTTCCCCGCCACTGCCCCCCGCCGGCCCGTCAGCCCTTGATAAAGGCTTAGCTTAGGGGGCGGGTAAGGGGTGTCTGTAGAACCCAGAACCCCCGCCCCTTCCCCTCCTCTCACCGTCCGGTTCTTTAGGGTCTTCCCCTTCTCTCCAGCTTCTGCCACCCCAAGCTACGGCCACGTTCACCTCACCGTTTCCCCACCTGCTTGCTTCGTTTTCTCACCTGCGTTCCCCGCTTTCATTCCGAAGCCCCGAGATCGGAACCTCTGTTTTCGGCCTCGCGTCCGCCCGGAAGAAGATATAATACACACTTCTGCTTCCGGTCCGTGCCCTTGGGGCTCCGTGTCCTGTGGGCCTTCCCTCCACCGCTTGGTCTGCATCCGGGGAACATGGCGGCGGCCGCGAGGGCCTGGTGGCGGGGGCTCGTGGGGGCCGTGGCGCTGCCCAGGGGTGAGAGGGGATAGCCGGATGAGCTCGGGGAGGAGCCGCGGCGCGACCAGCGCAGCCGCCCCTCAGGCCTCACCCGCGCTCCTGTGCCTTTTCTCTCTGTGCAGTGGCCGGGCGACCCTCGGCGCTGTTGCTGCCGGCTAGGAGGGAAGGCGCCGCGGCCGACACGCGCCGTGAGTATGTGCGGGCCCGGCCTTCCTCGGGACTACAGGCGGGGGCTCCTCATTCCGTTCGTCATACGTTTGTCCTTGCTCTGGGATGCCCTTCCCTGCGACCTGGCAAATCTGCTTGTCCTTGGAGACCTGACTGCAAGGATTCTCACTCTGCAGGCCGAGTGGGGCCCTTCCTGTGCCCTTAGGCCTCTCTGTAGTGTCCCTGGTTGCCCCCTTGTCTACTTCTGCAATTCTCTTTTCCTCTGATTAAACTGTCAGCTGTTTGAGAGCGGGAAACATAACATGTGGGCCGTAGAGCCCAATACAGAGCCTGTTGTAATAGCTCATATTAATTGAGTAGTTATTGTGTGCCAGGCACCTACCAAGTGTTTTTATGAATGATCTTATTTAGTCCTCACAACAGTCTTGTGGTAGGTGACAGTTTCATACTATGTCAGGAGACAGTTCAGAGAAATAACTTGCTCAGGGTCACAGCACTAGTGAGTGACAGAACAGGCCTGCCTGCTGCCAGGGGCAGAGAGCATAACCATTACCCTGCAGTCTTTGATGTCTGGGTGCTCAGTGATTTAGGGTTGCATAAATGAGTGTGTAGAGATATGTTGCAGTCAACAAAAGCCAACTGGGAGTCAGGAGACCTGGCATTTCCTCCATTTTGAGCCTCGGTTTCTTCATCTATGCAAAGATAAATAAACAAGGTTTCAACTAGATAATCTGTAAGGGCCCTTTAGCCCTGAAGTTCTTACCTGGAGAGCCTGCTATGAACCAGGTGCCAAGGAGATACACTGAAGCAGACATTCTGGTTCCCACCCTTAAAGAGGTCCTAGTCTGGTAAGAGAGTTGAGACATTTGCTGCTATAGCAGAAATGCAGGCATTGAGAAGAACCATGGAGTTTTGAGAAGAGGTAATCAAGCCAGCTTTAGTAATAAGTCTTTGTAGGTGGCGTTTCCCACTTCCTATTCCCTCCACCCTCACCTTTCCCAAAGTTCCACAGGGAACCCCTTTTAAGCCCAGACTAGATGCAGGACGGGTTGCTGCCTTTGCTATTCCTTTATTAATATGTCTTCTCCTTCCAGCCACTGTCAGACCACAGAATGATATGGCCCACAAACAGCTCTCAGCTTTTGGAGAGTATGTGGCTGAAATCCTGCCCAAGTATGTCCAACAAGTTCAGGTAATACTCACTACTGTTGTTTGGTCTGGGTCAAGAAAGAACTGTATTCTCAGGTCGTGGGAGTGGGCAGCCTGGGATCAAAGATACCACAGATTCCTCCATTCTAAGTTGGGTTTCTTTCTCTACCTTAAATCAGGAGAATCAGCTGACATTAGCTGCTCCCTCAGTACTCTGTTGTCTCTCCCCTCCTGTTGCATGTCTGCAGGTGTCCTGCTTCAATGAGTTAGAGATCTGTATCCATCCTGATGGAGTCATTCCAGTACTGACTTTCCTCAGGGATCACACCAACGCACAATTCAAATCCTTGGCGGACTTGACGGCAGTGGACATCCCGACCCGGCAGAACCGTTTTGAGGTCAGTTAGGATTTGAGATGGTTTGTGGCATAAAGGAAGGAAAGGGAACAGACAGCACACTTTTAGGGTGACAGCTACCAATGGGAACCATAGCCTTCTTAGTTTCAGTTTGGGTCAAACAGCTCAACAACACAGTTAAACTGGGGACTCAGGATCAGGAAGACCTCGAGTTTGAATCCTGGCTCTGCCACCTGTTACAGGCTGTGTGACTTAACATTTTGTTTAGCCTTTCTGAGTTTTGGTTTTCTGCCAGAATAAGTATAAAATTGTCCCTACCTCACAGAGTGGTTGTGAAGATTAAATGAAATAGTACTGGTATATTGCTAACACACAATAAGTTCTCAATATGTTTAGCTATTGATATTTACTGATCATATACTGTTTGTCAGATCCTGGGATAGAGAGAGAAATAACACCCAACAGCTGCCCTCTGGAGTCCCCCACACGCTGAGGGAGGAGGACACATAAACAGCTCATTGTAATAACATATAACCCGTGGAATGTTAGAGACATGCTATAAGAATGCAGGAGGGCCACTTAGCCCTCTCTGGGAGGCTTCTTTGAAGGGAGCGAGAATATTAGTGCTGAGTCTTAATGGATGACTAGGAGACTAGAAATTAGCCCAGTGAGGATTGGGGTTGGGGGAGGTGAGATCAAGAGACATCACAAAGGGAAGAGCGTGAACAAAGACACGCATGCTGACTGCTGAGCTACATGTTAGTGTGGTTTAGCCCTTTGGAAGTAGTTGTAAATATAGGAGCAACTTGAGGTTTTGAGCCTCAGGATAGAAGGCAGGTTCACCTAATTCACCCTGTATCCTCATCTTTTTTTAAATCCTCACCTGAGGATATTTTTACATTTATCTTCAGACAGAGTGGGAGAGGGAGAGAGAGAGAAATAGCTATGTGAGAGAGACACATCGATTGGTTGCCACCCGCACAACCCCAACCAGGGCCAGGGACTAACTACAACTGAGATACGTGCCCTTGGCCGGAATCAAACCCGGGACTCTTTGGTCCGCAGGCTGACGCTCTAACTGCTGAGCCAAACTGGCCAGGGCTGTATCCTCGTCATTGATGTTCCCGCTCAGGGACTTCAGCCTCAGACCCTTCAGTCTGTGGCCATCTTGGTCCTCCATTCTCTCTCTTCTTCCTAGATTGTTTACAACCTGCTGTCTCTGCGCTTCAACTCCCGGATCCGTGTGAAGACCTATACAGATGAGCTGACACCCATTGAGTCCACTGTCTCTGTGTATAAAGCAGCCAACTGGTATGAGAGGGAGGTGAGTTACTAGACATGATGGACCCTGCCTCTGAGCCAGAGTTACAGAGTTGGTTGAAACTACTGTGTGCAGCACAACTCCCGTGTTGGCCATGATGGACTGATTGGTTACCCGAGGGCCTCTTTTTTCTAGATCTGGGACATGTTTGGAGTCTTCTTTGCTAACCACCCTGACCTAAGAAGGATCCTGACAGACTATGGCTTTGAGGGACATCCTTTCCGGAAAGACTTCCCCTTGTCTGGCTACGTTGAGGTAGTAGCCTTGGAACTGTGGTAGCAACTTCAGGGAGGGTCTAGCAGGGAACTTGGGGGAAATATGGTTTGTGGGTTGTGGTGGTTTAAGAGCATTGGTTCTGGATTCAAATCCTAGCTCAACTTTTGTAATCTGGGGCAAGTTACTTAATTTCTCTATGACAGTTTTCTCATCTGCAAAATTGGAACAATAACAGTCCTTAACCAGTAAGGTTTGCAGTGTACGAAATGATATATATGTAATACCTAGTGTATTATAAATACTCAGTTGATGTTAGCCATTCTTGTAGTGATCATTTTAATGATTAGGGCAGCCTTGAGGACATACTGAGTGTGACCCCAAGATCTGAAAGTGGAGTGTCATTTTACCCTGCCCTGGATCTCTCGAGGGAGCTGACAGGAAAGACACTGAATGTTCAGCCTTTGAGAATGGCCAGAGGCAGGATCAATAACGTGACTATAAGAGCCTTATAAAGAATTCCAGTGCTTTACTTTGCCACCCATGTGCTGCAGGTTGTTTATTAAGAGGAAGATGGTGTATTGTACACATACACACAGGTGATTCTGTAGGAAAATAACTTTTTAGAAATACCAAGGTAAGGGCAGTTTAGCCCTTTGGTGCCCAAATGTTCCTGTTTTCTTCGTATTTTGCATGGTCTCATTTCCTTCTCAAGCTACTTCTGGTCAGGGTTACTTCCCTCTCTTCTCCCTTTCTGTCACCTTTACTGACCCCCCAGTCTGGATTGCTTCTTCACCAGCACCTGTTTGTTCTTACCTTATCCAGCTGATCCGCCACTAACAAGAAAAGCCATGCCAAATTGACTGCCTTGCATCTTGATACTGATAATGCCAAGGCCACAGGGCCTGAATTTGAGTGCCTGCCAGTTTAAGTGTACTCTTTTCAGCCACTGACTTGCTCCCTAATCCTGGGCAAATGCTTACCATTACCTTATAAAGTGTGTGGATGGTGAGCAGACTCACTTCTGCTGGAAAAGATGCTCAGAGCTCATGATGGAATGTGGGCAGGTGAGCCTGACCAGATAATATCAAGACATGAGGTAGAGGCCATTTTGGACTGTGGTTGATAGGTAACGGAAATGTGGATGGAGACTTGAAACAGGCTAGGACAGGAATCAAGAATAGTTAAGTAAAGGGCTTGGAGAAGTCACCGATGGCCTTGGGAAAGCAGGCTGCTTATTGTAACATGGCCTTCCTCCGTGTACAAACCTGCCTTTTTCTTCCACAGTTACGCTATGATGATGAAGTGAAGCGGGTGGTGGCTGAGCCAGTGGAGTTGGCCCAAGAGTTCCGCAAGTTTGACCTGAATAGTCCATGGGAGGCTTTCCCTGCCTATCGCCAGCCCCCTGAGAGTCTCAAGCTTGAAGCAGGAGACAAGAAACCCGAAACCAAGTAGCTCCAGGGAAGGCATATGGATCCTGGAAAGCGCCTTATCTATAATTGAGTGTCCGTGTAAATAAAATCCTACTTAGACTCACCACTTCCTGTGTGTTTATCATGAAGCTTTGATTTAGGAGAGGGGAGATCCATGGAAGGTTTTTTCCCTGTTTCCTCAGAGAGGCTACCAAACTGAGAGTCTATTTTAATGGGACTAAATAGTGCAGCTGCAGACAATGGTGACCTGCAGGTCTGGATGTTTTTCTGAGACGGATTCTGGAGCTGAGATGGAAAGTACTCATAGTGCACAGGGCTCAGGATGGGTGAGGCATGGCCTCTGGAAGGGTCTCAACAACTTTGGGAGAAAGCCCCTTGTCTGATGTGTCCAGGGGCCTGGGTGGAACCAAGGAAACCCCTATTCACCTTCATTCTATCCAAATATTCACAGGGTTCCATGAGCCAACAGGAAGGGCCGCAGGTTATTTTTGAGTCTTGAACCCCGCATCCTGCTCCCTGCAACCTGACAGGCCATCATGCTTGGGCTAAGGGAATCTTCCTGGACTCTGGCCTGAGCCAAGAATGTTGTAAACAAGCAAAGGAGGTCCCAAGGCTGAGGCAAAAGACTCGACAGCTGCAGACCTGTCTTCCAGGGGGATAGGACTCCCTACCCTAGCTGGTCTGGCTGAGTGCCCGAGGTGGAAGTGCTTGGCTGTGCCTATCTGTGGGGCTGTCCAGTCAGTGCACCGTGCATTTGGAGGACTGGGCTTTGGAGCTGATGCTGTTGGCTGCTGAAGGGCTCCCTGGAGACTGGGCATTGGGAGTTGGGCTTAGCTGCAGGATGTTTTGAGTGTGAGCACAGATAGTAAGGTAGTATTACTGCCTGGGCTCTTTCCTACCTTTTGGGAGGGCCAAGCTCAAGCTGTTTGCTACCAAACACCTTTTTTCTATTAACTAAGCATCTGGCCCATCTGCTGAGTGCCTGTCAAGCAGGGAGCCAGGCTCCTACTGCCAACAACCAAGGATTCCACATTTCTTCCGGATGGAAAGAGCCCCTAGGAAGCCAGAGCCAGCCCCTCCCTGTTTCGCATTGGAGACTGACACGCAAAGCAGGGAACGCCTGAGCAGCCTGCAGTGGAAAGTTGGAGCCATGGTGTGTGGCAGGCGGATGCAGGAGGAGAGAGCAGCTGGGGAGAGTAGGATTCAGAGGACGTGGTGGGGCATGGCGGGGAAAAAGAAGTTCCTGGCTTGGCTAATGGTAGCCATTTGCCTCCTCCCTGGGATGACTACAACCCAGCACCATGAAGGTACCAGGGCTTCAGGGTTGGGTGGATGGGAGCCAAGGAAGGCTGCTGGCTAATAGTTGGTTGTATCTGAGCCTAGCAAGGCCTAGGAATTGTGGGCATGGTTGGTACCTGCTGACGCATGCTGCAGGGGTTAATGGCATGCACCCCAACCACAGAATTGGAAAGGTCCAGATGAAGTGAAAGGAGGTAGCCCTTGGTGCTGGCTCTGGAGAGCTAGACCTGGGCTTATTCAGGATGATGCCCAAAGCAGCACCCCTTTTTCTTCCCTGGGCTTGAAACAATCATTCCAATGGCCAGGCACACCCCGAGATGGGATGAAGGAAGCTGCAACAGACATCCTGCCTTGCCTGGCATCCCTGCCTTATGTACAATCACCACTAAGGAGTAAGGAAGGAGTGGGTTCTTCCCAAAGGGGTCCTCAGTCTTTGGGGAAGGTCACTAGCACTGTTTTAAGTTACACTGTCAACAGATGATGATAGAGAGGGGAAGTGGAAAGTAAAGTGTCTTATGACCATTGGCCTGGAGCTCTTGGCCAAGGAAACTGCGAAGTTCAAGGAGGAGTCCTGGACATTTGCCCAGATGGTATCTGGGTTTGGGATGATGATTTTGGGATCATAAGACCCATGCCTGGGGTGGCAAACGTCAATGTGCGTATGTGTGTAGGGGAAGGGGGCATGGAATGGCATTCCTGATGTTTTACAGCTATAACCTCTAGACACTCTTACCAGGCAGCTGAGGGGCACTTCTGGGAAGCTGGGTGTTTATGGTGGAGCTTGGCAGGGACCTGACTTCTCTTTGCTGCCCCAGGGCAGCCCATGGACAGCACCAGCGTGGGAGGTGGCCTGCAGGAGCCAGAGGCCCCGGAAGTGATGTTTGAGGTCTTTCCTCCAGCCTGGGACATGGGGAGGTGGGAGTATCCAGAGGTCCCTAAATCAGGGTTGGGAAGGGGGATGTCAAGTTGGGCCTGCTGGGGGAGGGGGACAACCCAGCATGGGACCTACTGCCTGCTTCTGGTCCCCCTGGCCCACTCTTGGTCCCTGCCCTGCCCCCCAGGGCCCAGCCCACTCCTCACACAGCTCCCCTTGCAGCTGCTCTGGGCTGGGCTGGAGCTGGATGTTATGGGGCAGCTGCACCTCCAGGACGAGGAACTGGCATCTACACGTCCAGGCCTCCGACTCAGGCTCCTCCTGCAGCACCATGTGCCCAGTGACTTGGAGGGTGCTGAGCAGCGGCTGCAGCAGTTCCAGGACCTGCGGAAGGGGCCTCCTCTTAGCCCTTGGGACTTTGAACATCTGCTCCTCACAGGCCTATCCTGTGTCTACCGGCTCCACAAGGCTATGGAGGCTGAGGAGAGGGGTCGCTGGGCCCAGGTCTTTGCCCTCCTGGCACAGGAAACACTCTGGGACCTGTGCAAAGGCTTCTGCCCCGAGGGCCAGCCTCCTTCTTTGGGACCCTGGGCCTCAATCCCTGACCCCTTCCCCTGACCCTCCCCTTTCACCCCACCAACCCCTCAATTCCCACCCCCAAGTCAGACCCATGCTGGGCAGGGGCTTCCATATAGCACCTGGTTCTTCCCACTGTGTTCAGTCTCTGGGCTTGGAGCTTGCATCCTGGACCCATGTTTACCTCTCCCCCATCTTCTTCCCCGGGCCCTGATAGGCTAAGAGCCTGAATTCTGGGTCCCAGGCAGCAGGTACAGAACTAAAGGCCGGATTTGCAGGCAGTGCGTGTGTGTGTATGTTGGGGTCAGGGTTGAAAAGTGTGTTTTAAGAGATGCTGAAATGGCCCTGGCCGGTTTGGCTCAGCGGTTAGAGCATCGGCCTGTGGTCTGGAGAGACCCGGGTTCGGTTCCCGCTAAGGGCACGTACCTTGGTTGCAGTTTGTCCCCAGCCCTGGTTGGGTCGTGTGGGTGGCAACCACTCGATGTGTCGCTTTCACATCGATGTTTCTCTCTCTCTCTCTCCCTCTTACTCTATCTGAACAAAATATCGAAAAATGTCCTCGGGTGAGGATAAAAAAAAAAAAAAAAAAGAGATGCTGAAATGGCCCTGGTCAGTTTTGCTCAGAGGTTAGAGCATCGGCCCGTGGACCAACGAGTCGCGAGTTCAATTCAGTCCAAGGGCACGTACCTTGGTTGCGGTTCATCCCCAGCCCAGGTCGGGTGGTGCAGGAGGCAACCAGTTGATGTGGCTCTATCACATCAATTCTTCTTTCTATCTCTCCCTTCCTCCCACTCTATTTAATGATAATTGGAAAAGTATCCTAAAAAAAGAGATGCTGAAATGAAAGGGAAGCTGCCCCTAAGTAAGGCCAAGTCTGACCCTTCAAACCCTATCCTGGCAGTCCACAAGAGGTCCTGTGGAATCTAACAGGAGCCTTCTAAGTGCTCAGCACCCCCAGTCCTTATTTAGATACCCCTTTAAGGCCAACCACAGCTCTTGGGGTCCCGGAACCTCCAAGTTCCCCATTTGGGCTGGGAGAATAGACTGGACATTTCCAGTTTTGTCTTTTGGACAAGGGAAGGGAAGCAGCTGGAGGGAGGATGTTTTTTGGTCCATCTCAACAAGGCTCAGAAGAACACCGCAGAGGATAGAGTGAGGCTGGGAGAGGATGGACAGAGACAAGCGGAGGCTGGCAGGTGGAGTCTCTGAGCCTGCGTAGCTCATCCTAGAAACTGTTCTAGCCTCCCGGATCCTTCCGTCTCAGAGCAAATCGCCCTCCTAATCCTGGGCAGGGAGGAGCTGGGGCAACCAGGGACCCACTGCTTATCCCGTTCACATGCCCTACGGCAAAAAGGAATGTGCTTTTCCTTGAATCCCACACCCCCAGGGAGGTAGCAGGGCGCTGCCTTGTCACAAAAAGGACTCAGTCGTCAGCGCCTCCGAGAACGGCATCGAAGGCCATAGAGTCAGGGACCTGACTGGGAGGACAGGAACGGGAGGCCCACACGGCTCAGGTCTGTAGGGCTCAATCAAATGCCCATCTCCTCACCCTCCCAGGGCCTGACCGAACCTTGCCCGCTGATCTCCGACCCTCTCCCGCGCCTACAGTCGTCCCTTCCCGCCCGCCCCGGACAAAATGGTCGCAGTCAAGACAGAGGACAGGACCCGGGCCAGGGCGCCGGCGCGGGCCCACTTTATTGGCAGTCAGACGCGCTGGGCGGGCCGTCATGCTCGCGCCGTGGAGTTCGGCCTGGGCTCGGCTCGGCATGCACGCCCTCGGGCCCCTCTCCGGGCGGCGCTCAGAGCTCCAGGGGCCCGGGGCCCGGCGGCCCGGCAGGGGCGAGGTCGGGGTACACCAGGAAGCCGGAGAAGGTGATGTACTTGCCGTGGTTGCTGTAGGCGCCGTAGCCCTCGTGGTCGTGGCTGAGCAGCCACACGGCGTCGCCGCGCCGCAGCGCCAGCATCACGCTCTGGCTCTGCATCTCGCGGCGCCGCGACGCGCCGTCGTCGTAAATCATGGCCTGCACCTCGTCGCGATTCTTCATCAGCTTCACCGACAGCGTCTTCCGCGGCAGCTTGCCTAGCGTGAAGGAGAAGAAGTAGGCGCCGGGCAGGCGGCAGCGGAACACGCCGGCCGCCGCGTCGAAGTCGCCGCCGATGTTGACCAGCTCGGTGTCGAAGGCCAGCGGCCGGTGTCGCGGCCCTTGGCCCGCGTCCGAGCCCACCAGGCTGCGCGTGCGCGCCGCCGAGAAGGCCGAGCGTGGCTCGGGGCGCGCGCGCGGGCCGCGCGCAGGCGCGTCAGCGTCGGCGTACACCAGGTAGCCGCTGAAGGTGGTGCCGGGCGCGCCCAGCGCGTACTGCGGGGCGCCGTGCAGCCGCAGCCACACCGTGTCGCCGTAGTCGAGCTGCAGCATGGCGCTCTGGCTGGCCGCGCGCCGCGCCCCGGGCCGCCGCTGCTCGTCGAAGGCTAGCGCCTGCACTTCGTCGCGGTTGCGCACCAGCATCACCGACAGGCTCTTGTGCGGGGCCTTGCCGGCGGTGAAAGAGAAGAAGTAGGCGCCGGGCACGCGGCAGCGGAACTGGCCGGTGGCTGCGTCGAAGTCGCCCCCGATGTTCACGTACACCTTGTCGAAGGTCACTGCCATCTCCGACGTGCCCTCCAGAGGAGTGGTGCGTGCCGCTGAGAAGGCCGACCGCAGCTCCGTGGTGCCAGGAGCCGGGCCCAGTGCCCAGGAGGCTACCGGGCCCAGCAGGCCCAGCAGGAGTGGCAGCATGGCGCCTGGGAAGGGAGGCAGAAAGTGAAGGAGAGGAGGGCTGGGCGGGGGCCACCTCCAAATTCCCAGAGCTCTGGGACCAGGAGAGGGATTCTCTTCCCACCCTTGACCCATAACTAGGCCTCCGCTTCCTGTACACATGGACCAGATCAGTGATTTGCAGACTTCAGCAGTCCTCGTGTAGAGCTTGTTCACATTGCTGAGCCCCATCTCCAGGATTTCCATTTAGCAGGTCTAGAATGAGGCCTGAAAATTTTTATTTCTAACGAATTCCCGGATAATGCAGATGCTACTGGTCCAGGAACCACACTTTGGGAACCATCAGATTAGGCTAGTGAGTCTTAAAGCTTTTTTGTTGTTGTAAGCACCGGAACCCCTTCCTCACGTGAAAGCTCGCACACATACAACACAGATACAGCAGAAATGCTCTGTTTGGAGGGGCCTATAACCCTGTCTGCTGGGCTTACCCCATCCCCTTCCCTTGGCACCCAGGGGCCCTGGGTACACAGAAAGTGGGCAGGGGGTCTCTGAGTTTCCTTCAGCCACTGGATTGCTGCATTTTCCTGTGGCTATTCTGTGGTCCTTGGCTTGCCTCTCAGGCTCTGGCTCACTGTACTGACGTCCTCCATGATGGCCATTGTTTCAGCCCCCATCTGGGCAGGAAAGGAACTAGCTAGCTACTCCCTGACCCCTTTCCTGGCTCTGACCCACTCAGGGGTCAGCTTCTACAATGGACCTCTGGACTCCCCAGGGGCCCTTCTTGCACTAAATAGGCCAGAACAGTTTGGCTTTGAGATAGTCCCCCCCCCCCCCCTAAATTAGAGTAAGTGAAAGTGACTCCTTCCTCTGGGCTGGGGGGCTAGTCATTGAAGGGAAGGAGAGAGCCAGGAGCTGCTGGGAACAGAGAGAGAGAGCAATAATTCCAGCAGGCCTTTGACAATATTGTCAGCAGCTTTGTTCCTCAGTGGTGGAGTGGAGGGGACAGACAGTTAATCCTGGGCTTGGGTCCTGGCTCTACCACTTACAAGCTGTGAAACCTTAGGCAAGTTCCTTAACTTCTCTGGGCATGCTTCCTCTGTGTAAATGGGGAGGAAACCTCTCACAAGCTGACTGTGAGGATGCTCTGAGATAATAGGTGTGAACACAGTTTGTGAATGGCTGTGCCACCCAGGTGTATAGATGCTTCTGCTCTTGGCCTTGAGAAAAGCAATCTGATCAAATTCTTGACATAAGGGACTCAGTAACTCCTACTCCTGGGAGCTTGGTGAAGGCACTGCTTAACTCAAAGGAGTCACTCTCCGATCGTGTGATTCCATCAGCTTCCTAGTAGGCATAGGCTTTGGGGGTTGAATACCCAAAGGCCTTGAAGTGGAGACAAAGCAGGACAGAAAATGAGCTGCCAACAGCCTAGGATGTGGGCTTCCATAGGCAATATCCTGGAAAAGTGCAGGGGACCTGCCGAGAAGGGTTGCCAGGTGCAGATGTGACCTACACATCAAGAAGATTCACCTGAAGGTAGGTGGGCACTGGAATCTAGCACCCATTACACTTGCCCAAATGTGTGGGGCAGCTTCATCTGGGGAAAAGTGTGCCTTTTCCTAATTCTCATCATAAAGACCCCCAAGTCCCTAGCCCAGCTGAGCACTCTCCCTCCAGAGAAGGTACCTTTCCTAATTCCTACAAAAGCCTCCATGGGCTAGTCATTACCGTTGGTGGGAGAGAGGGAGGGAGGCAGGATGGAGCCCATCTGCCTTTGCAGCGATGAAGACTGCACCTCACGAGTCTCAGTGCATTCCCTTTTACAAAACTCTTTGGAAACAATTGGGCTCATGGCAAACCTGGGAGAAAGGTGGGTCCTCTCCCACTTTATAGATGAGAAAAGCCGAAACCCAACAAGAGAAAGTGTTCTGGACCAAGATCACCATGGAGCACTGAGGCAGGCCTTGAACCCGGGTCTTTTGACTCCAAATTCAGAATGCCCTCCTCTCAGCCACCTTTCCCTTTTAGGCACAGATATTTCCAGGCATTCTGACCTCGGCCTCAGTTTCCCTTTTTGCAAAAATAGGAGGGGAGACTAATGGAGTGAGTTTTGGCATGGGGGTGGTGAAGAAGAAAGCAAGCAAAACCAAATAAAACCAAACAAAAACTCGAGCGTTTTGCCTTCTGAAAGTATGGGAACATCTGAGCTCTTCCTGACCCTGCTGCTCTCTTAGCTGTCCTCCCCAGGAACCTGCCCACCCTGCCCAGCAAGCTCACTGCGGAGTCAGG